TCTGTACTTTAATTGGAATATCAATATTTTGACCAGTGTAAAAATTAGCAGCTAACGCTAGCAAGCTCGAGTAACAAGCAGCATCCATAAACAGTACAAGTGCAGTTGAATGGTCAGTACCTCACACTAGGCCGTATCATTTGTCAGAGAACAGCTCAAACACAGCAGAGACATCCACTTTAGCAGCTTCACTTAGCAGAATTCACTCGTTAAAGAGTTGCCATAAAAATGAAAACTATCCATAAAGGCCAACATTTTTGTACCATGTTACACGCATGTGTTTGAATCCTATTTAAAGTGGCCACTTTGAAATAAGATTCTATGGGGATTGACTCATTTTTAGAGTCAAAGTCAAGTGGACATTAGAGGAACTGCAGCTTTTTGGAACTTTGTCACTGGTTTCATTTCTCAGCTTAGAAAGCTGAGGTGACACTTTTAAATGGATCATGCTAAACAAATTTGATATCACACATTATAATTAGTCCTGTTGCTAAACTGTAAATATCTGTTAAGACAGCTTTAAGGATGTGCACACCTAACCACAAAGCACGTTTCCTTTTTCTCTCTTCTATCTGACTTTAAGTTAAAAAAAAAAAAAAGGCCCCTCTTCAGAGTTTCTGGGGACCGCACTATGAATGACTACCCCTGGGTGAAACCAGTGGGCACTATCACAGTTTGGTGTTTTCCATTGTAGTCAATATTAAGTTCGGATGGTGCTGAGCATTTCGCGCCTAGTGGCAGACAAACTTTAGTTTTAACCGTTTAACATAATCCATTTTCTGTTAAATCGTCCAGCACTTACATAGACTGAGTCCCAGCGTCGATGTGCAGATCTGCTTTAAAGTGTCGCTGAAATACTTGGCATCATATATCCGCTCTACTTCGCTGTGTGTGCAGGAAGTCGCGGTTGTTTTGGTAGCTTTCTTCACAGAGAGCGGGTGGTAAAGTCAGCTCACGGCGTCGGTGTTGAAACGAGCCTCGCTAATGCAAATGCATGTTTCATGTGTTGTCTTAGGAACCAGCTTCACCAGCACGTCGGTGGATGAAACTCCACCCACGAGGAGAGGAGGCCGGCCAGCGCGGGCAGGCAGGGAGACAGCCTCAAAGAGTCTGTGTTGATGTCGGGAGGATACTGAGGAAATGATGAACATTTTCACATACAGTGGCGATTTTTGTTTTTTACAGGCTTTATGACACACTGGATTTAAATGTATTGTTAGAGGGCAACTATTGTACTTCAAGGGCCCTGCAAGCCTGTGCTGAGTCTTCACAACAATACTGACTATAAAGGATACAGTGCTGTCACAGCTGTTCGTACTGATGAGAAGTATCTAGATACAGCACAGAGGTGGGAGTGTTTTGAACAATGCTGAGTACTGGCTCAGAGCATAAACTCCCACTCAGTCAGTGTGGGAAATGAATAGATTGGAGCAGACCGCGCACAAATAAACGAAAAATGGACGTAGGGGCGCGGGGGTCTGTATATGACAAGGGTAACACAACAATACAGGATCATTTAGGCTAACCCTTTTCTGTCACTATCAATCAAGGTAATTAGCAACATAATTTGTGGATTAACATACTTGATAGCACCAGAAAATTATTTATTGACATATTATCTCAAAATGGAATCCCTACAGGGTAGTCCTGTTAGTCCCTTTAGTCTGATTTACATTTCAAATTACATAATGCCAGCTTCAAAACGCAAGACCAGGTCCCCACCACAGAAAAGCAACGCAGTGAATATGTCATATTTACACCGTAAAAAGTTCCACTTTTAACAGCATGTACATTTAGATAGTTTGATATTTTTTTCCAATTTGTTTATTTAAAATAAATGCCACGCAGTCTGACAGACATAAAATAGTATTTCCCAAAAAAAGGGTAATTCCAAAAGAGCTATTAACTGAAAGCCTGGCATATGTCATCGTGGTGCACAGTCAAAGTCAACTGGAGGACAAAAGAAGAAGTCGCAAGCCTAAAAAACACCTACAGCAGAAGAACAGTATCTAAAGGCCTGTGCTTACAAAAGAGCAAAAGCAAAAACCTGACACCGGACCGAGGGATGCATTTGGACCTTCAGCTGATTCGTCTAGTGTTCACCAAGCCTCATCAGTAATGGTGTCAGTGGAAAGGTGACTGTCAAGAAGCCATATGTTTTCATGGAGTGATGAATCCAAATGTGATTTTTTTTCAAACTGTTATGGATATGTAAGCTCAGGATAAAGTGTTTACAGCCATCTGTACAACGCAGTGGCTGCTCTGTCATATTTTGGGGCTGCATTTCAGTCTGTGGTGTTGGAGATCTTGTTAAATTTGATTGAATTAGGGATGAAGAAAACAATCTTTTGATCTACTATGTGATATCATCTGGAAAACATCTGATTTCCAATAACTAGATAGGAAAATACATAGTGGAACACTATCAGTCATGGGTTGGCCTTCCCGGAGCTCAGACATTATTGAAGCTGTGTGAACGCAACAAAAAGCAGAAACATCCAAAGAAGAGCTCTGATTGTCCTTCAAGAAGCCTGGAGAACTATTCCTGAAGACTGCTTAAAGACATTACAGGAGAGCTTGCCTAAGAGAGTTTAGACTGTGATAAAGAATAAAGGTGATCGTACCAAATACTGACTTTCAAGCTTGTTGGAAACTATCTGATGTAGTCTTTATGAAAAACTGTGTCTACCTTAAAGTTTAAAGGTCAGCTTGCACACAGGCGTGTCGCCCAGAAGCTGACGAATATCTGTGTGTTCACAAGAGGTGTGTCGAGCTTCTTGAAAGAAACACTGGCACCGTCTTCTCCCTGTGAGCGATGCGTTTGGTTTATTGCCAGCTCAGAAGGGAAAAAAATACATGCAGACTGTCAGCTGCGAGGCTGCTGTGGGTGTTGCAGGTTTGCTGTAAGGCTGCCATCTGCTGACAATCAGCCATGCTGGTGAATCATGGAGACTCAGCTGTCCATTTCTGAGCCCACTCACCGGTGCTGTTGCAATCATCAGTCAGCACTCCAGTCATTACACAGCATCAAATGCTAATTGCATTTTTTTTCCCGCTTGTTTACTTATCTAACATGAGATTTTTTTTTCCTTTACTTCAACCAGGGTGTTGCTGTATTTCCCATTTGTTTGTCCATCTGTACGTGCTACAACAACGACCTTTCTGATTTGAATAAAAATTGGTGGAGTGGTTGAGAACCTGTTAAATTTTGTTGTCTGCACCTTGAGCAGTGTACAGAGCCCTCAGTGGGTCTAAACTGCAGCTGTGTTTATGCCCAATTTTTAATTCGTGGAAATCTCAAAAATTTCACAGGCCACACCTTGAATCACAGCCAATCAAAACCTGCATAAAATATACATCAAAAAGTGACATTATCGTCTAATCAGACAGGACAGGACGCCCCGTTCTGATGTGTTAAAGTGTTGCTAGAAATATTACAGTTACAGACACCTCTAGGATTATCTGTAAAATCATTACAATACATAACATTTGAAGTTTTTTCCACATCCTCACACTGGTTGTTTTCACAGAGGTCTGCCAGCAGCAGTACATTCCAGCTATAAATGAAGCGATCAAACATCCTGCTTTAATTCTGCTTCAGTGCTTCTATTTTTACCACCAGCAAGTTCCTCATTCTCACTCTCAGCTTCTTCCTGCTGCTTTCCTACTGTTGGGTACTTCCATCTTCATCTGCGCTCTCACTCTCTCCAGGCTGGATTTTCAGTGCTACCTGTGCTTTATCCCCCATTGAAGCACCATAGAAAACACCCCAATGTGTTTTTCTTTTGAGAGGAATTGCAGTGAGGTGCACTGGTAAGGAAGGCAATGTTGTAGCAATGTGCTTCTGTCCACACTGGTGCTTGCGTGTGTCGCTGCATGCTTGGCTGAATAAGATGCATTTAAGGATACGGTTGAAACAACACTGACTGTAACGTGACTTCTCTGAAGATGAAAGATGCTGTTGTCTACATCACACTTTCCTCAAACTTCATGTGGTTTTCTGACAAATATATCTGAATCTTATATAATAGATTCAGAAGACACTGAATTTTCTTTTTATTTACATTTTACCCATTGTGCCAACAATGTGCCAAAGAACTTCAGACCTACTTGTAGTGACTTTTTAAACTCGTTCAAAATGCCATAAATATAAAGATTTACGCATTTAATTACTGGGTAACACAGATTCAGAAATATTTTAGTTACAGCAAAAAGAGAAAAAGACAAAACTGAATACAATGGATGTTTAATAAATGAAGCTGCAACACAGGTTCAATAGGGAACAACTGTAATCACACATCTCAGGTGGCTGTGGCTCAGGCAGTAAAGCAGCTCATGTAGCAGTCCAAAGATTAGGGAACTGATCTCTGGTGCTTCCTGTCGATATGAACCCTGAGTTGCCCCTGATGCATCCACCAGAACGTGTTTAAATGTTAGATAAATGTTGTGTGTGTGAGTGACGTGAAAGCACTTTGAGTGCTGAAATTAAATAGAAATGTACTATAGAAGAACCAGAACATTAATCTAGCTGTGTGTCTGTTCTTTACATCACTTCCACTTCCCCATACTGTCAGACTCAATGCTGATATCTCTGCTCTTGTCCAATCAACTTCTTTCCCCTCTTCTCTGAGCCAATAAGCCTCCATTCTCTGTGCTCTTCTGTCTTTCAGATTCTCATTTGATAAGCCCTCCTCAAAAGCACCCCATAGTCACTGGAGCCCCCATCTTCATCTTCATCACCGCCAGCATCCAGAGGGTCCTATTCTAATATCACTATGGTGTGATGGCCCATGTAATCTATTTACCAAATGGCTTGTTATAATTCTGAATTGCAATAAATCACATTCAATTCATATTTTGTCAGAATAATAAATTATGGCCAAAACAAATCCAACAGAGTTAAACAAGGATACATTTAAAAATATTGTGCAATAATATAACAAAAATGGAAAAATTCCTCCACTATTTAACACACATAACATCTCAAACACCCCACTCCACATTTTCCAAAACTTTTATTTATATAAAAATTATACACGCTAAATAGAAACAGCATTTGTCAAGGTTGGCAAAGGAGCAGCAGCAGTAATATTAAACAGGGATGATCAGGCTCCCTGTTTGACAGGCAAAAATTACATTGAACCAACTCACAGGTACCATTTTATCCCTGCAACACCCTACAGTTATCACAATAAATCACCAGCAGTAAACCTGATTTCTCATCTTCAAGTCACTACTGCCACCTGCTGGTTTGTCATGTATGACTACTATGCATGAGTAAACGGGACCCTGACAAAAAAAGCTGCGGGATACACATAGCTTGATTGCAGTATAAAGTAATCAGTGCAATTTAGACATTTTTGTTTAACACATCGAGAATCATTCCAACAAACCCGTCTTAAAGTGCAGTGCACGAGCCACTGGTGAGGTATCTTTGGTATTTTTCTCTGCAGTACAAACAAACGTCACGGTGCAGGTATGAGGACCGTGATTTGATCTTAATCTAAATCTGACAAACACACAAAAACAAAATGTTAATTCAGACAACACATGACTAGTCACCGAACGCTTTGCGTTAGAAATGTGTGTGTCAGTGCAGCTTTGCTCTCTTGAAATGCTGTGTTTTGTTTTGTTTTGTTTTTTTGCTGCTGAACTCTAAAAAGGGCAAACTGCTTCAGAGGAGGAGGCATCCATGAGTCTTAACTGAGCGACTTACCATAACTTCCTGTCGCCAATTCAAACAGGAAGCAAAAAGTACTGTGTTGTGCTGGGTTTTGTGACTCCACGTACACATAGACCCTAAACCCATCAGGCACTAACAGGAGAATACTTTCAAAGAACCTTTGGTATAAAAGCACTTCTTTGGCATAGGCTAGGAGCAGTAAAAGAAGCTGAAACACTGCAGTGAATACACATTTTCTTTCAAATATCACAGAACTGTTGATTGCTCAAGGAAGGGACTGTAACATAGATGTTAAGCCCACTGATGAGTCAAACAGAAAATTCGGTCACATTTTTAACTCTTTGATTATTTTTTGGGTCAAAAAATAATATCACAAAGTAAAAAAGGTGGCAAGTCATTTTTTAAATGAATGTGTGACTTACTAACTGAAGCTAAGGTTTAAAGCTGTGTCTTAACGTGGCCTTAACCCAAGGAGGTAGATCAGTACTCACTGGCAGGGTTTTATTCTGATCAGTGTTTAGGCACATCTGATCTTTGATGTTACTGACATGTCTGAGTTGAGCAACTTTTCAACATACTTTCTTTCCTCATCAGTTTTAAAATTTAAGGCAACAACCATTTTCATTCTCACTTTCCCTACAGCGATCATATTCTTCAGCAACTCATCTGATTGAGTTTAGTGTAATTTATGACAAAAAGGAAATATCAAAGTGTCACATTTGACAAGGTGGAACCGCCAAACTTTTGGCACAGAAATAAATTAAACACTTAACTTATCACAAAAGGGTTTTTTATAGCCTAAATGAGTACTTGCTCAACTTTTGAGTTGAGTGTTAATACAAAAATGTTCCTATTTTTCTTTTTATTAGTAGATTTGAAAACATATCTGCTATAATTCTGTTTATGAAAAGCCAAATATTCAGTATTGAGTAAGGAGACTGATGAGGATGAGTCTAAACTAAGACCTAAAAGGTTTTCAAGAAGATATTTTTCTGTTGATAGACTGATCAGCTGATGCTGTTTGCCACCCTAACCTCTGTGTATCAGCTGGCCTTCTTTCCTTTGCAGCAGACTTACTCTCTTAGAATTGCCTGGTAAGGCACCAGGTAAATGTGATCAGCATCTTTCGTGGCTTTTGGCAAAGTCCTGCCAAACCCTCAGCAGCTTTGGTGCCTTAAAGCCATTAACAATGATCAACTTGGCGAAGGTGCACCTGTCGTACTTCAGGTTTTTGATTTCGAACAGGCTTCTGAAGAACGGCAGGCTGTAGGCGTACACAGGCCTGACACCCAGCATCCGCAAGCACAAGCCCACATAGACATCCTCCAAAGGGATGACCCGCACAAACCTGGAGGCCCAGGAGATCCTGGCTGCCAGGTCAGCGGAGAACACGTAACCGGCTCCAGACACGTAGGAGGGGAAGCTCTCCTCTGGATATAGCTCCTCTGACACGTACCACTTGCTGTTGGGCTCCCGCCGTGGCCTGCCATCCTGGATCACCGACCCTGTGATGAAGTTCTCCTTGGGGGAGTTCCTCAGCCACTGGATCAGGTAAAAGACATTAACAAAGATGTCTGCATCCACCTTCATGGCGTAGGACGCACCGGGGCAGTAAGTAGCCAGCCACCTCATCATCATCATGGTTTTGATTGTCAGATTGTGGTAATTATCCACAAAGTTCACCTGGACGATGTCTGCATGCTGCCTGCTCTCCTCCTCCAGTTTCTGCTGGAGGGCCGACATCTGTGGCCTCTGTGGGATCCCCACAAAGAAAAGAGTGAGGGTGTCCCGGCCAGAGGCGCTCCACGTTTTCCTGATGGCCTCCCGTGCCGCAGCGTCCTCAGCCCCCACGGGCACCATGAACAGTAGGAAGGGGCTCCTGTGCCTGCAAACACTGGGCTGATTGAGGAGGTAGCGGTATGTCTGAGGGTCTACGAGACGGTACTCCTCCGGGGGAAGCGGGCTGGGCTCTGGCGTCTGTTTACTCAGTGAGCTGGCTAAGATATGCGCAGTCAGGGCCAGCACAGCGGCAGCGCTGAGTAACTTCACCAGCCTCCGGATTAAAGTTGCCCGCATGGTCTAAACCGACGAGCCTCTCTTTATTTCCCTAACGCGTCCGATAGCAGGCCCCTCAGCCCGGGTCCCCGTGATCCCACACGGAACATGTTTCCCAGCTGGGAGGACCGGGAAGTAGAAAGTTGTCTTACAAGCTGCCACTTCTTCTTCGTCTCTTCTTCCGCGGTTGAAGGCCAACAATAAGGCGTGTTACTGCCAACTCCACGGGTGCGTTCCAAAAGTACCTCCGACCTCCTACTCCTAACCACTTTCCTGACCTCGAAAACCACTTTATCGACTTCAAGGAAAATTTACGTTAGTCGTCTCCTCAGGATTGAGCCTCTAACTCGTCCTGCTGGCAGCAGATTGATGGTTTTTATTGAACTGGCTGCATCTTAGTATATAAATGACAGTAAGGAGCAAGCTCTGTTTGCCCAAGTGCAACATATTTTGAGCTAGTTTTCCTTTCTTTCTAAAGTTTAGTTTTGAGTTTTTATGTTAGTAAGTTTTTCATACGTAATTTTCTTTAGGTTAATAAAGATAACCTACATATCTTTAGGTTACTTTTAGTTAAGTATAAAAACCTTGGAAAAGGCACTAATATTTCTTAATTTCCTAGTGAGACAAGAATCACATTAGATGTTTCAAGTTAGTGCTTTGTCACATTCAGAGTAAAATGTGTTCAGGTGTCGACATATGTTTGGTTATGGGAAGGCTCTCATTCTGCTTCTCTTGCACGGCTAATGTAGGTGGTCAGATGTTCATGACTCTGCTGCTGGTAGAAAAAAACAACAACTGATGTCAGGAAGTTTTTCTTCTTCTCTGTTTTATTAACAAACATTAAATGCAGTAAATGTCATCACAGCCTACACCAAAAACTTTCAGTCAGCTGCTGCTATGTTGGCTTCTGTATCAGTTTCAGAGAGTGTATCTGTTGTCTCCAGTGTGTGTTCCAGCTCTGCTGTTCGCTCAGCTGTCTTCGTTTCATGTCGTCTGAGAGCAACAGTTCCAACTTGACCACTTGCTCAAACCGCTGACACACACACACACACACACAAACATTAATTACGTGTGTCATTTTGTTTGTGTGTGTGTGTGTGTGTGTGTGTGTGTATACACACCTTCATAGCAGTGTTTCTTTGCTCCATAACAGTCACATGTCCTGGGGTCCACTTGGATGTAGCGATCGAAACTGTTGTTACCGTAGTATGAGAAGATGGCAGGTCACCTGTGCTGTTGGTTGTCATGTCCATGCACACACACACACACACACACACACACACACTTTAAATTGACTATAGTTTCTTCTCTAGTCACAAACATCTGTACTGCCAGGGGTAACATGCAGGTCAGAGGTCAAAGGTTACCTATTTTCAGCGCTTGGTCTGCTTCCTGTTTCAGATGCTGCTTCTACAGTAACAGCACCACCTTCTGTCTGCTGTCGTGCTGTTGCTGTACCAGTTTCTATGGAAACAGGTTAAACATAAAAATTATTCAAAGTTGTTTTGGAAGTACTCATCTTGAAATGCATCTGGAAACTTATCTGGGCAGAAATTTTTAAGCACTATATAAATAAATTTTAATTTCATTGGTTACCCAGATATATAAAATGCACGTGGGAAATCACCATTCAGATGCTTTCAAATTTTAGTGACTTTATCCAGAAAGTATTCACTTCACTTGTTTCACATTTTGGAATGTAACAGCCTTTTCACCTCAAAATTCTACACACAATACCCCACAATCTTTGCTCAATACTTTGTTGAAGCAGCTTTGGCAGCAATTACAGTTTGAAGTCTTTTTTGAGTATGATGCTACAAGCATGGTACACATATTTTGGGGTAGCTACTCCGAATTTTCTTTGCAGAACCTCTCATGTTTCATCAGGTGGGATTTGAAGGATTGGTGCACATTTTCAGATCTCTCCAGAGATGTTCAATTGGGTTCAAGTCTGGTCTGTGGCTGAACAACTCAAGGACATTGACAGAGTGGTCCCAAAGCCAGAGAACTTTGTTTCTCATGGGCTGAGCATCCTTCATTTGGTTTTTCAGCAAACTCCAGGCTGCCATGTGCATTTGACTGCTGAGTCACTTCTGTCAGCCCAGGGCTGATTGGTGGAGTGCTGCAGAAATGGTTGTACTCCTGGAAGGTTCTTGTCTCTCTACAGAGCAATGCTGGAGCTCTGGCAGAGCAATCATTATGTTCTTGGGCACCTGCCTGATGGATGCCATTTAAATCCGATCGCTCAGACAAACTTACATTTCCAAGGTCATTTTATTGGAATCATCAATAAACTCCAATAAAAAACTATTCAAAAGCTTGACAACACTGCCATCTTTTTACATATGAGCCTAAGCGACTATTCCAAGGTCTGATGTCTTGGTGCTAATTACCACAGGGAAATTGCTATGTAGGCTCCATTACTTGCAGCACGTCAGGCAGGTGATCATCTATGATTTATAGCCTAACTGAACAGATGTTTATAATATGTCCATTACAGCTTAAGGTAAGCATCTCTGCACACACACACACATGCACACACACACAGCCATTATGATGGTACAAATGAGTAAAGGTTACCTGCAGGGCTAAAGAGGTCATTCATCTGATGGAGCAGCTTCTCTGTCAGAGAAGCCAGTGATGTAACAAACTCCTCCCCTCTGCCTCTCACACATTCCTGCATTCAATAATAAAATGCACACTCAAAGTGAGACTGCAGATTAGAAAGGTGTTATCTGGTGCCACTGTCACATACCTGCAGCTCAAGGTGTGCACTGGAGATAGTGCTGTGTAGCTGCTGCTGTCTCAGCTCTTCTCTGCTGTTCAGCATCTCCAGCTCATCCTCCCCGAGAGACGTTCGCAGCTGACCTATGTTCACACTCTGACAACCAGACACATAGAAACCAGTCAGCTTGCAGATCTTTACTGTCTGTATCAGAGCCTTCTGCATCACAGCTTCACACCTTCTCCTTCTCACTGGCTGCCAGAGTCTTCTCCAGTTTCTGTGTGAGTCTCGCCACTTCCTCTCTGAGCCCCGCCCCATGCTGTCGCTCATGGTCACTGATCAAAACTGCAGGTGATAAAAGTAGCAGCTCCTCGAACACAGACAGCTGCTTCACCACATCTGACCCATAGACAGGTAGAGACAGACAGTGTGTATAAAATTTTTAGGTGCTTATTCTGTGTGACTGCTTTGAGATATTTGTATCTTTCTAAGATATATAAGTTCAGCCTGATGTTCCTGTTTGTATCTCTCATGTGTCTGTTCTAATTCTGTAGTTTTTGTTTTGGGACATGGGAAAAATATAGCTTTTAGAGATGGTGACATAGAACAGCTCAAACATGTGCATCATGAGCTGAAGGAGAGACTGAAAATGGCAAAAGTGAAATACAAAAAGGAATCTACAGCCCAACAACATCTGTGAGGTGTGGAGAGCAATCAACACCATCTCTGGCTACAGCAAAAACAAAAGACAGCCACTCCTGGGTGAAGTGGGTAGAGCTGATGAACTCAACCAGTTCTTCAATTGATTTTACGGTGTGGTCACACCTACATCCACTGCTGCTCCTCCATCACTTTCTCCTAATTCTTTTCAACACGTGGGCATCTTCAGTGCAACTCCTCCAATTGTGTGCTTCTCAACCACAGCTCCCACGTCTCCCTGCATCTCTAATATGGCAGCTATTTCCTATCTCACACCTGTTCTTCCACCATTGTCTGTCACAGAGACAAAGGTGGGATTGGAACTAGGAAGACTATGCTCTGGGAAGGTTGCTAGTCCAGATGTTGTGTCCAAAACCTGCCTATTCACTCCCCTCCACAGTTGCTTTCTCTGTATCAGGCAGCTTGCAATAAATAATTTAAACCTGGCAACTGTCGTTTTAGTCCACTCTTTGGGACTGGTTTAAGTTACACTCTAACCTGTTAAACTTTATCAGTTGTCATTTTACTGAGCATGTGCAAAAGGGTGTAACTATTGCACTGGAGTTCAGGGCAAATCTCATCCACTCCAGTGGTCCTGCCACTAAGGAGTTTTTAATTTACCTCACCCAAGGTTGCTGAGTTCAGAACGGAGAAAATCCAACTATGTATATAAAGGAAGGCTGGATATTTTCATCTAGCATCTGTTTGGACCAGATCTTCAAAGGACTGTTAGAGTTCAGATTAGGACAAGGTTAAGGCCTCAGCCAGATTACAGTGTAAAATTATAGAAATGTTAGTCATCAAAAAGATGGACAGAAAATTGTTGTATTACTGAATGGGTACCATCTCTGCTGGTGTCCAGAAACCTGCTTGCCTGCTCGTGGTATCCCACCAGCTTCTGCTGCGTGTTCTCAATCCATTGGTCCAAGGAGTCAGGAAGAAGCTGGAAACAGCTTAGACGCTCACTGCGATAAAAGTCCTGATGGATGGACAAGCGAAAGGTTCGTGTTAGTTTGTGCAGGTTGAGGTCAATTTGACTTCAGTTTGGACCAATGATAACATCAAGTGAGAAGATGATGTGGATCAGTGTGAAGTTAAAGTGGAACCTTAGCATCAGAAAATAATTTAATTATCGAGTGCTCTGTGGTTTTCAGGAAACTGTTAGGGATAGGATTTCCCCTCAGTCATGTTTATGTTACCTCAGCAAGCTGCAGGAGAATGTCATTGGCTTTCCACAACGCCAAATTAACTTTGGAGCTAAAAGACCTGAAATGCAGAAATATCATAATGGAACTAGAACATTCCATAAGCTACACATCAGATCTGAATCAGTTGGGACTCACTGTGCACTCTGATCTGGTTCGGGTCCAAAAATCTGGAACCTTCTCTCATGCCTGATATCAGTCCTGATAAACCTGGCGCCCCTCTTTACACTGAAATACAAACACAGGTTAAAAATAAAATAGGACAAACAAGTCATAGATTATCTATAACATATATCTATTAGTGGTTATTGTACTAAAAATCACCTTAATATGAATCCTCAAATTTGCCATTTTGTCTACAGCTAACCTTAAACCTCACATTACCATGTTTGAAGGAAGGGGACAGAACGGATCAGCTAACACCATTTGATTTGGGTAACCCTAACCCTACAATTCTTCTCCCTAGTCTTGGCAAACCCCATTTTCCTCTAAAAATAGGACATGTGTTAGTCAACTATGGAATTCTGTTAGGGATATAGTATCCCTTACTCCATTATCCTAATGTACCAGATTATGAGATTTGTGACTTATGGAAATAGGTCTTGGCAATAAGAG